TCCTCCAAAACCGTAAACCATTATAAATTTACATCGATTTTACTATGTTAATAAATTCCAGAAACAACTTGTGTGATTTATGTCTTAGTAGAAATTAAATTTGTAATGTTTAGTTAGAATGATAGCCAAGTTTATGTTATGGTACATACATTCGCCTTTAAAGTTAATAAATGAGAATTAAGAAAAAAAAATAAGTAAAGAATGAAACAAAACAATCATCCTAGAACCAGTCGCAACCTAAAATGAATTAACTGGACTGGATTCACCCAAGAACTACTACATACCTACTACAGATTGAAAATAAAAAAATCAAAACGAAAATGCTTTATTGTTCCATAAAATTTTATAACCCACGAGATTACCCAAAGTAAAGCCATGTCATTGCATGTCAATGTACAATTTGATGTTATAACTAGCTTTCGCCCGCGACTCCGTTCGCGTGGAATTAAAAAAATAAGTAGCCTATGTGTTCTTCCAGACTATACTCTACATCTATGTCAATATTCGAGATCCGTTCAGCCGTTTAGGCTACAAACTAACAAACATCCATCCATCCATCTAAACTTTCGCATTTATAATATTAGTGAGATAAAGTTTTGATGTTAACGTTAAAATTCAATCACAAACATAAGTAGTGTAGGATGCTTTTCATTCATATTCAGTTCCTACGTATTTACAAGTCGAAATTACTACAAAATGTTTCCGTTACAAATCAATAATTTTCTATCAAAATGCACAATTTTTACATAGGTCGTATTTTTTAATCTTAAATCCTGTTAGTATCCGAAATTTTATTTATTTAGGATATGAAGAACTGGAGACTATTTATCATGTCGTAAATTCTTAGTGTATTTTTAATTAATATGGCATTGACCATACTAAATAAACGATTCACTACGAAATTGATGAATTATACATTAAAAATGTCCGTCAACATAGTTGATTGCATGAATGATTGACGATATATAAAATTAAAATGAAAGATACTAAACGGAGAGTGCTTTGCCCCCGTGTCGTGTATTTTCGTTACACGAGAATCTTGATTGTAAAAGAACATCCTGGTCCAGTGGATGATGAACTTCGACTTTTTAAATTTAAATTACAAGTTTGATGTAAACTTCTTCATCTTGTAACAGGACAGGTCTACTTTTAGGCATAAAATACCATACTATCCTAATATAGTACGAAAATAATACTATCAATAATAAATTATCCGTAGGAAATATAAAAAAATAAAAGAAATTATTAAATTATTTGTATAAGTTCATTCAATTAATTCTATTTGAGTACCTTTTCACTGATTTCTGTAATGTTTATGAATTAAAATTTCTATAACTTAGTAGAAACAGTTTAGTTTTCTCAGTAAGCGTTTAATTAATTTTTAGTAAAACGAAAAAAAAAAACACGTGCCGCATAAAATTTATGGAAAAATAATTGAAAGCAAAATAGCAAACTTCCTTAAGATGATATTATTCGTATTAAATTTAGTATTGGATATTCAAAGGGTCGGTTACAGGTCGAACGATGTGTTAAGGCATGTGGTTAATTGATGATTCTCTCGTTGAGAGTAGGCAATGCATGCACCGCGGCTCCGTGCGGCAAATGCTAAGGTCGCGACCGCACGACGGCATAACGTCTCTATAGCTCCCGATCATGGTTTTATAAGGAGGGGTCATCTATTTTAATCGCCTTGTTATCTTCTTGAATACTTGTAATCACAATTAATTGCGGTTCACAAAGACAATTAAAACCCCATTACAAAAAATCCTAATATACCTACATGTTTATGACATACTTATAAAAAGAGTTCAGTAGTGGCAAAGAATAATTATCATGAAGTTAAAATTAATGTTTACTACTAAACTTTTTTTTCATATCCTACTTCTACAAACACTTCATCTTTTATTAACAAATCTAATAAAATTAACATGGTAATAAGGTAAATAGTGTGACAAAATTTAACCGAATAAATATTTATTTATTACAATTAATTCTAAATATAAATAATAATAATATGTATTAATGTTATTACAAAGTAAACTAGTTTACATTTTAATGCATTCTTTATATCTAATTTTCTCAATAACATTAATTTATAAATATATACTAGTGTTGGCAACCGGATTGCGAAGTCGGCTGTTCATTGAAGTTGCCAAATTGGGAAAAGCATTTTAAGGTTCTTCATTTTTAAATAAAACGTTTAAGGTAGACCGGACTGATTTATCACCGAAAACCTGTTATAAATATCTCTTAAGTTACGTAACCGACTGATGAGCAGAACGTAAACGCGTGGCTTTAAACAGCTTGGCCTTGAAATAAATATGACACCTATAAAAACGAAGGACAATTCAGCTAGCGGTTGATATGTCTGTATTCGATTTATCGTCTTATTAGCAGTCAAATTACCTGCCTAAATCGATTTGAATATTTTCTTTGATTCAAGTTAAATTAAACCTTACATGCTCAAGTGAATTCAACGCTTTTAAATTACTGTTATGAAATTCGAGGAAGTTTTACATCATTTGTAGCTGATAAAATTATTTTTACACTTAAGTGCAAATATCTAGATAATCGTAAATCATAATTTAAGACTTTAAATGTCACACAAACTATCTATATAATTTTTAAAAGAAATAAGCACATATTTGTTTTTTTTTTCTAAAGCATGTGTCCAATTTGTGTGCTTGCATGTGTGCTTTTGCATGTGACTCCGGAGAGCGTAATAGAAAAATGTAGTAAATAGCCTATATGTTCTTCCATACTATGTTCTAAAAATTAATATTTTAATTAAAACTAATAAGTTAGTTTCTACCGAAAATGTACGATTGTCACTTACTAATATTGAAAGTATTTGTGATGCGAAATGCCAAATGTCGAATATTCGAGGTGAACCAATTTTCAAAAGATTCAAGAATGCACTCATCATTTGATCACTAGTGATCGACAAAACCAAGAGAGCTAAATCCATTTTTCATTAAAAACTCCTCGTTCTAATAATTCACAATTTCACAAGAATCGAAAAATTTTCATATAAAATCCATTAACTTTTGTAAATAAAACATCTCGTCTTTTAACTATTCCTATTCAGTCATTGATACTTCGCAATTTAATGCAAACTATTAATTTATATTATACATATAAAACTAATTCATACAAATTCAAATTTATATTCAAGGCAAGATCGATTGTAAACCAAAAGTGGCAACGTTTGGTATTTACTATGTACTATATTATATCTCTTATATGCTAAAGTAATATTTATGAACACATCCTAAACGATATGTTGTAAAAATCTATGGGTTAATTACATATAATATCGAGCAATAAAAATCAACATGCCATAGCTCAATCAACAACGAAAGAGTTCCATCATCGATTTTAAGTCCGATCAGTTTTAATAGTAACATTGCGAGAACGTTATTATGATATACAACTTCGGAAAATATTTTTCTATAAACATCTATATTATACCTATTAGAGTTCTCTGTAAAAAAATTAAAATCAATAAATTAGTACAACGATATTTTAACTTTACGATGGCTTGTGGTATGACGTTTGTACAGATGGGTGCTGATGGTGTGATGTTTATAGACCCATTGCGGCTGCAAGAAAGCGTGTTTAAGGGTGTTCCAAAATTCTATATGTCCGTAAGGACATAAGTCCCTTCTAACTGAAATTGTACTCTATGTATCCTTTTGTGTTATTACAAGCCCCTATCAAATTTGCATAGATCTGTAATATAGAGTTAAAAACGAATGAAAAAGAAGAAAATAATAATCATTTAACGAGTTATTCTGCTTCTTTATGAAAAAAATTGATATTTTGGTTAATACACACTTTTTTTTTTAATTCAACACAGATTTAAAATGAATTAAATAAACGTAAACTGATCTTCACAAATGATAAATTCATGAAGTGCATAATGTTGAGATAAAACAATAGGACAAGGATTATTTGCAATTGATACGTAATATACTAAATAATTCATTGCATCAATTACAATACAATGGAAACCTTTAAATTGACGAGTCATATGTTTATTTATATAAATCCTAAAACCTACAAGTACCCGAAGAATCTGATTTCTTGAGTCGGATGAACTCGAAGAGCAATTTTGTTAATTCTGCCGATTCCGCAAATATTAAAGATTAATTGTTTTGTATTTTGTCACTTTACATTATGAGAGTGTACACTAAGGGAACGTTAATATAACAAAGACTTCTGAGTATGGCGGTAGAACTTATTGCAATGGTAGTCGTTTTTTGAAATGGATTTTTTACGTCACGGGTCACATTAGAATCAAACTAGCATGTATGATATTTACAAAAAGAAGTTTCAAATAAAGTTGGTAATTTAATTGATTAAATTGAGTTTACGTGTTATTTCTTATGATTTATTGTGTTGGAACAATTGTGAAATGCACTAGGAGTAAAAAAAGAATTATCAAAAGCGGTCCACTAGCGGCAGAGTTATGCCGTAACACATGTAAAAAAAAAACATACAGAAGAATTGAGTACCTTCTCTTTTGGGAAGTCGGTCAATAAAATATAATTGACATGAAAGGAATTATGCCTTACAATTTTAAACAATAAAAGTTAAATAAATATTCTAGTGACTATCGCTCATCAGTAATCAAATAGTATTGACAAAAATAATCTAGAACATTATACTAATATGTTAATGTGTGTGGATTGACATTTAGTAAAAACAAGCACGTCAAGGCGATATTAAAAAATAAAAGAATTAAGATGATTTACGGTTTGACCTTTGATTTAGTTTGATATTGTATTGATAGAAATCAACGTTTTTATCATCAAGCTTGTTGATACGTTTGATGTATTTTGTAAACAAATTTAATTCAAAAGGTGTGATTACAATTGCTATAACTGTCTTTCTATGTAAAAAAGTGAATGACAAATTTATATTAATTATGAACGATAATAGTACTTATGTTGTTACGACTAATTGCTAAGGTCAAAAGAGAGAATGAAAGGATAGAATTATGTAGAAAATTAACTATAGTTTTTTTTATTTCATCATTTACAAAGGTACATTCAGTATAGTCGATGTTGATCTAACAATCATATCACAATCTATTTTATATTTTATGACACAAAGAGCATTAAATTAATTCTATTTGTTAGGTGGATTACGTTATTTTAAACGAAGTGAGATTCTTCATATAAATGAAGTTTCCATTTACTCCTTTTGGATAAGGTGGTATTTGGCGGTGTACTCGAGAGCGCGGGCGATTTGTGCGGGGATTTCAGGGGGCTGGGGGATGGCGTTACCCTGGAAAAAAAAATTAAAATAAAAACATTGTATAAACAAAAACGAGAAAAAGTTAGGTAAATGCGTACATGTTTGAAACGAAACGAAATGTTCTTATGATCTTGCAAATATCGGACTTGAAGTATTCTATCGATATGGATGGAAAAAGTTTACTTTAAAAGAAAATGCTCTGAATCGACACTATCTACTTAATAATTTTAGGCAAATACATACCTGAGGCTGGTATCCGTTCTCGTCAGCGACGTAGGTGAGGGAGATCACTTCACCCTCGGGGGAGGTCCACGAGAAAGATCCCTGGACGACATCGGGGGTGACGGGGGGGTTACCACCGAGGTTGCGGGGAACACCTTGCGCTTGGGCAGCGATACCGTTGTCGGTTTCGTAGCTGTAATAAAAATATCGGTTAATATAATAAAATACGACAAATTAAGAGAATCACTTCTTGATTATGACTGGGACACTTACTAGTAGTTGTAAGCGCCGTCGGGGTTGATTTCATTGCCGTATTTAACAATGGAGGCGGCTCCGTCACTTGAGACTACCTTGGCGGCGATGACTGGGGATTGAGGTACAAACACTGGTACGGGAGCGGGTGCGGCAGAGGGGGAAGCGGCGGGGGCTGCAGAGGTTTCGGAGGGTGCGGCAGAGGGCGCTGGAGGAGCGGCGGTCACCACGGGGGCGGCGGTGGTGCTGAACACGAATGGTTTGTAGGTCGGGCTTTGGTAACGGTTCTGGTTCAGGTACTGGTAGGGTTGGAATTGTCCCTGGTAATTTCCTTGGTATTGTCCCTGGTATTGTCCGTACGGGTTGAACTGGTTCTGGTAACGGTTGTAGCGGTTGTATTGGTTGTACTGGTTGTATCTGTTCTGAACGGGGAAGCCGAAGTTGTCGTATGTGGGTTTGGGGGTGGAGGAGGTGAGGGTTTGTGCGGAGGCCACGGCCAGTACCGCCATCGCGACCACCTGTACACAGAACAAATCTTATTTTAAAATAACTTAAATCCATTATCACTTGATTGAGTAAATAAACTTAAAACTTTGTAATTATTTAAGAATCATTTTTAAACGTGAACTTACGAAGGCTCTCATATTGTTAATGTTTTAGGATTGTCTAGCTTGGATGAACTAGTTCGAATGCTGGTAAAAAATCCGCGCAGGCTTTTATATAATTCATGGATCCACCCACTTTAGACGCCGAATTGCAATAACATTTAAATAATTTGACGCTAGTGAGGAACTATATTTAAAATAACACTTGGGCTATCCATTTTAGTAATAAAGTCATTTATGGTATAATTCTATGGGATATTTTTCTAAGTAGTTTGTGAAAACTTTTTAAAATAAGTAACATTACTATTTTTTATAAAAAAAAAACTTGTTGAAAAATGGTCATTGTTAGTACATAATTTATATGTACTATTGTATAAATCAGATATTCATTTACTTTTAATTAAAATTAATAAATCTGTTGTACACAAAATGTAGTTTTGACAGATATAGATATTAATTTAAGTTAGATTGATTACTAAATCTTAACTCCAATTTACATAAACTAAAACATATCAAACTCTGTCTGTGCTAATAACTAAATTTACATCACAGTGTCCTTTACAAAAAGTTCTAAACTACTCAATATAACGCATATATGGTAATTGTGAAACCCTTTTGTTAACTTAAAAAATAGCTATGCCATGTGAAAATACTTAATTGTTTTAACAATAAATGTAAAAATCAAAGATACTGGTTTTAGTTGGTGCTAAACTTAACATATCATCAAATAATTGTATGATTTTAAACCAACTACTTTTACTTATAACAGTACTAAAAATTATAAGGTTAAAAAACGGATTCTAAGGGTAAAACGATAGACACTTTTTTGTCGATTTACTAACTTATAAAAACCTTACAAAGATGGTAATTTTTAGTCCAAATTTGTAAACCTCACAGTACTAATTTACAATTTAGAAAGAATTTAAAATTACCCTGAGCAAAATGAAATAATTAATCTGCAGCTTAAATCATAAATTCTTCGGAGTCATATAAAACGTTTTGAGTATATTTTATCTAGCCTAAGGCGACCATTAAACCGAAAATACTTTGAACTATTCCTCCTTGCCACAAAAAACTACACAGATCATAATGAACTACTCACTGTTTTCTTTGAAAGGGTTTTCGTTGCAAAGAAATCAATGATTCGATACTGCATCAGGGATTTTATAGAAATAGACCTCTTCTACCAAATTTTCCTGTAATTTGTAAATAAATAAATATAATAACAAGTTCATCTTACAACATACCATTTTGCCTTAATTCGCCAAAAGTAGTCTAGAGTAGCAAACTGATTCATATTAGCTATAATAATTAATTCATCATCATCGTCACCAACTTGTCCATGTTCCTAAAAAGGGTTATCATACTATGTGCTGCTCCTCAATACATTTTTATGAGCCGTCATATCTAAACACACTCACAACTTAAGCATGTCCTCTTTCATGCAATCCAGACACACTTTAATGTTTTCATTAATCTAAAACATATGTTTTATAACTATGTATAATGTCTCAAGTCTCTGGTTTGCATAGCAACTTGCAAGGCGTATCCTTTGCAAGTAGAAAAAAATTACACTACCTACTGAGCATGTGCAGGGTTCTCACAAACCAAAAGGTTTAAGAACCTCAATTAAAAGTTGATTGTATAAAATATGACTTCAACTTACAACAACATAACTTACGCCCAAAAGGGTAAGTAGAGTTTACGGACATCCATTTGGCACAGTTCAAATCTTTCTTTTTCTACATTTATACATATACTCAAATACGTACGTCTGTTCGGGTGCACTTGATATCGTCCTTCTTGTGTACTTCATATTAATAAATATTACTGAACGGTATAAATCTGTCTGGGAAAGCCCCTACTGGGGCAAAAGCAATTTATGCATTTTCGCGGCATAAATTGCCCTTGTCCTCACCATACCTAATTATTTATTTCCTTAAACGTATCGTATTTCTGAGTACAAAAGTAGAAATTGACAATGCGTTATTGTCACGTGTTTTGTTGTATGTTTAGTAAGTGGCCTTGAGTTTTGCTCTATTTGTTGAAGTAATGGACAAATATTGGTTCGGGATAATTTTTCACATTCCAGCAGATAGCAGATAAACTTATTTCTTTCGTGCTTTCCTGATTTTTCCTGATTCCTGACGTGCTGGCATAGTACAATTAGTAAGTTTGCTGTATGAATTAATTACTTGGGATCTACAAGTATTTATCAGGTATTCATTAAAATTGTAAAATACGTATAAAAATATGGTATTCGAGTATGATAAATAGTTTTTTATTCCTTTTTGAATAACAAAACACATTTTATCTCTGAACTATTCAATACACTATTTTTTTTTAATAAAGCGATGTCTATTAAATACATTACAGAGGCTCACGTATTAAAAGCATTTTTCAATAAGCATTTAAACGTTATCAAATTGACGAAATCATCGTGTAAAATGTTATTTGACATTTGATTTATTTTTTAGGAATATCGCTTTTTTTAATGTTATTTATGAACTTTTTAAAATTGTTATTTAAATTATCGAATATTTTGAAGGTTGACGCTTTAAAGGTTATGTATTATTTTAAATGTTTTACAAAGCAAATAGTGACAGTGTCAACAGTAGTTAGTTAATTTACATGTTACTAAGCCTTTCAAATAAAGGTAAAAAGGGCAATGAACTCACTTTCTTCCCTAATATAAATTGCCTCAAATGTAATGTAAATGGTGGTGGATGAATTGCTACGAATGCAAACGAAACATAGATTAAATTTCATTCTTTAACTAAACAATCAAAAATATAACATTTGTGAACTAATTCTGTATTCGTCCGTAATCTAAATATTATTCAAATTTAATTCAAAACTAAGAAAAAAATAACCACATTTTCTGTCGCATTCTTGTCTCATTTTACGTAATGTTAAAGGCCGTGAACTTAGACCGTTTTCGTCTTCTTACAACTACACAAGCCGGAAAAAAATAAGTGACATACACACGTTTTTATGATACAAATGTCATTTTGTACCTAAGTAGTATTAATTTGACAGTTAAAAAAAATAAAAGTGTATCAAGAAACCACGCCTTAGTTTTTGCAACAAATTTCATATATTTATATCTCGTCAAACAAGATTTTAGCGTTTTTTGTTTTTATTTTTCATATGAATTTAAAAATTATTATAAAACAGCTCATTAATGCAAAACTTTAGCTAAGACCTAAAATTAAATATGTTACGTGATGTAAGTCACAGCAAAAAGAATGAACAAATAAAATGTAGTAAAGAAAAAGTATTTGTTGTTGCATTTTTGTGTGTTATGAATAAACTGGACCGATTACCAAAATTATTTTACGATTACAAAACTATTGCATTGTAACTGAGTAATATGGACTATGAATAATTATTATTGTTCGCGACTTCGTCCGCGTGAAATTAAAAAAATAATAAAAACATAGCCTATGTTACTCAGTGATAACATTGCTTCTTAATGGTGCAAGAATATTTTAATCGGTCCTGTTGTTTTTGAGTTATTTCAATACATACAAAAATACAAATCTTTCCTCTTTCTAATATTAGTATGGACTAGATTTTTTTATATCCCACGCGTACGTTCTCGCGAGTAAAAGTTAATTATTTAATAATTATATTTACTGACTTAGGTACAAGGCGAAAAAAAATATTCTAATAAAAATGAAACATGATTTTCCACTATTTAATAAATTAATCACTCATGTTAACATACATAGAATAAATAAAGGTTATAGTAAAAAAACAATTTAAAATAAACAAAAAAATATTTAACGTTAATGTCGAAATAGAATAAATAGTTGGAGGATGTTATAGGTTTCGAATTAAACAAAGATTTATAGTACCGCTCCTACATCCTCTATCTAATTTGCGATAAAGGTCAATGAATCAGACTTATCGAAAAGAAATATAGCACTTTGAAATTCAATAAACTAAAATATGTAATAAAAATATTGTATATGAGATGTGTATGTACCTTACCCTACCCCCAAAACCACATTGAATAATTTAAACAATTTTTGGTGCAAGTAACTTTGTAAGTCCTGGGGAAAAAGGTCATACGATTCGGAAAATCTACGAGAACTAACCCCAACATGCAACGATTGCTTTTTTCGTGTACCAACGATATGCATAGCTTCTAACTGAATCGATTTTGACCAGTCTTATTTTATAACTTCTCAGGAGTATCATAGGGGTATATATTTACAAAATAAGTAGTAATCGTTTTATTTGTAGAACAATCGAAGCGAAACACTTAACATTTAAACCAATAAAAAAATCATTACGATCTTTACATCCTTAAATATTTTATTTAATGTTCGTTAACGGTCGCGTCTACAATCTATGAGTCATTCATTTTGTACGATAAATAGCTCCAGCTACGAAACAGGTTCACTTAACCGGAATTAGACTACTCGTTGAGAAATTATAATAAATGATACACATATTTTGTACCTTAAATAAATCTATTTTAATTTTGATAACATCTTTTTATGTTAATCAACAACAACTTTGCGAAAGATTTATGTTTATTACGGAACGAGCAAGCATACAACTGACTAAGAGATACTTTTTGTGATTCCTTTAAATATATCAGAAATAACTATAACTTAACAACATCCTCGATAGACGTGAAAATCTAAAATGTCTCTGAGCTTCCTAAAATAACGTATAAAAGAGCAACGAGACGAAGAAATACATAAATGCTTAATTTTCGAACCCCATTGAAAAATTTCATATATGACTTCATACTCATAACATTTGTGTTACATTTGAAGCCTGTACTAATTCAATATCTTTAAGTCCACAGTCTGACAGTCTGTTAGTTTTAATAATAAGGTCCAGTACCAATTCTTATCAATGCATGAACCGTTGGTGGATTTTTAGATGTTAGGAATACTTTGCATTAGAAAACAATTTGCCTCCTTATATAGAATTGCGGACAGTATCTGTTCTTGTTTTAGGAAGAAATATTAGGCCTATTATGCCAAAAAAAAATTTGTCCTTGTCCTGCCTATATTACTATCAGCTGCATATGAATGAGGTTAGATGTCAAAGACGATATTACAATAAAATTCGTAACATGGTGTGATGTTGCTAAAGCCTGCTATACACGCTTAGTTGCAAGTAATAAATTGAAGTGAACAGTCGAACTGTTCAAAACTGTCAGATGCATGTATGTATGCTTAAGAAATTAGACTAAATTTAATTATAAACACGCAGTGAGAGTCTATAATTTTCATTTCAAATTTGTTTGGTACAAAATTCAGAGAAAAATCACATTCAGTCCTCAATTTGTTTTTAAAAACATATTTTTTTAGAAAATTCAGTGACTTAGATATTAAGGCACGTCTCAATTAGGATATTCCAAAATAATTTACAGCAATAGTAAAGGGCCGTTAAATACAGTTTGAACCGCTAAAAATAATCAGTCGAATTACAGTGAAGTTTATTTCGGTATTAAAAACATTGACTTGATTTCGATATTAAAAACATTGACTACATTATTTGTGTTCGGAATTAGATTATTTAAATACACCCTGAATTCACGACGTTGGATTGTTTAGGAACTATTCGCACGGAATCATACGAAACCTTTTTATCACCGAGAGTGCATACGAGCTGCTATTGACCAAGGTATTAAGATACAGTTAGGTTTTTATATTTGAATTTCGAACTATAAAACAATGAATTTCGTAATATTCACTTAATTAGTATGCATCTCATTATAATTATTACCAGTTATTATCAAAATAATCGAGAACATAATGTATATTCAATTTTACAAATATCACTATGTTATTTGAGAAAAGATGTTATCTGTTTTGAGATTGAGGTAAATTTTTTTGGCTACACTAGCATGACAAAGTTGCTAGTGTGAAATCACCCTATACTTACAATCCGAATCGGTATGACATAAAACTGATAAAATCAAGATCTTGGTCCCATAAATTTTACAAGCATAGCACAAAATTAATATACATTTATTCCGAATGCCGTCGCCATCTCATATGATGGCTCTTCTCAATTAACAATTACATTGATGGAATTTTTAACGATTTTATTGCGAAAATCTTTAGTTTGTTATAAATATGTAAAGCCAAATTTTATTGCCTACTATATTTCGATCTATTTTACAACATTATTAAGGTGCTCTATATACGTTCAATAAAAATTAATATCAAAATATGAAATTTATATTCATGACATTTTATAACCTTGAAATAATAATGAGCCCATTAATTTTCGTCAAATAACCTATTATGATCAAGGAAATCGTCTCAATCTTGTTTTTTTTCTTTGTGTTACACTTAATTATAATTTAATCATGTCCTGCTTGAAACGATGGAAAACCTAACGACAAGGCTTTTAAACCGCTTAAATATTAAATAACGTATATTTAAATGTGATATTGAAGAAGTAAAAAAAAAAGAACAGATTTAAAGTGCAAATGCATTTAAACGTGAAATACAAATTATAAAAATTAATCATTTACCAATATTTCGCAAAAAAACATAAAAAGCTGCTCAATAGAATAATAGGTGAAGCAATTAATTAAATTTAATGTCTTGCTGTCGATTTACAAGCGAAGCAAAAACTTTAATCTTAATTGCCTTCAAATAGTAATAAATAAATGTGCATCATTTTTAATTCAATATTTAACTCTAACGCCTTACAGTTATCAATAGCAATTCTACATATACTAAAACAAACACAGAGATAAAAAAAATAAAGTAATCAACGAATGATGTCCAAGTGACTTAAACAGTTATAAATAATATGCCTTGACTAGCAGTGTGCCGACACTTATTAGTGACCTATCAATATAATACAAAAATAATTAAGCGCCTACCGAAAATATTACGTCATTTAATCATTTAAGGCACTTTGTTATATTGCTTATTAAATTGTAAATAGAAAAATAATTTAAGTAAAGATTAAATGAGCAGTAGTAAATGCAAAACAAATGATTATGTTTTGTTACTTAATAAGTCGTTGTTTGCAGTAATGATTATACGATATTTTCCTAATTTAAATTACCGCCATCTAGTTAAAAAAATATAACTTGTTAAGTGTCTTGACAGAGAAGTGTCAATTTGTTATAACCATTCATTCGGTCATTTTTTCAGGTTTATTACTTTAATACTGGCATCACATACTCAATCCACATTCAATTTCGTTAATTGGTCACTAAGGAAAATTTAAGTGCTAATTTAAGGGATATCTTCTACGCTTACAAAATGTTTAAATAACCATTTTACTACTCTGAGTGCGGAGGAGACCCTTATGTTTCTTATGAACTGGAAGTATAATATTCCTGTTCGTCTCTTTCTCCGTCGATAAAATAGAGGCAAAGCATTTGCATATGCGAATATCAGTCAGCAACGCGACTTGGCTGTTTTAGCGAATTAGGTGACTACTTGCTCGTTTGCCACAAACATGGATTTTTTTCGACATTACATACAGACACTCCAATTCTATTAGCTATATATTTCAGTATTAAAACTTAATCCAATATTCCACTATAATAATCAACAAGGTTACAAGGCATGGCTGCTTATGTTATTTATGTAAGCTTTTAAATTTTTTGACACTTTTGATAAACAACCAAATAAGTATACAAGTGTATAAAACCCTGTGAGATCATTGTTCCTAAAGTGGTCAATACGTGGGCTTTGAAATTGCCATATCGTTTAAAGCTTCGCTTTAAAATATATCTCCATCAGTTATTTTGATTGATGATCTGGTCACTTTTAAATCTTTATTATTTACTTATTTATCTTTAATATTTATTATTTACCTTGATTTCCAACTATTGAAACATCTACACTAAATTATTGTTTTTTCTATAAAGGAAAGTATTGAATGGATGTTGATTAGGTGAGAGGCTGTGCAGGAAATTCAATTCAAGGCAGAAAACGATAATTTACCACCTTTGACTTTGAAAAAAAAAACAGAATTGAATTTATATATCGTATACAGGCAGAAGACATTAATAAGAACGTATAATAACTTTTTAAAACGAAATTAAATATTTAAGGATTTATTCGTAGCTTTTTAAACATTTATTCATGTCGATTCGAAAATATTTAAGGTAAGTGCGCACCAGTTGGATGGAAGCCATTTTCATCAGCAGTATAATCCACTCTGTATTTAATACCATCAGCACCGATGTATTCATAAAAGCCTGTAACTCTCGTACCACCATTTTCAGTTTGTTCCACTGAGCCAGTTTCTCCGGCACTGATTCCGTTTTCAGTCAGGTAACTGAAGCGATAGGTGTTAACATCGAAGTCATTGTCTTGGCTGACAATTCTAGCGTTACCTTCAGGTATATTACTTCGCTGTAATACTGGCAAAACGGTCGGTAAAACTGTTCTTTCCGTGGGCAGTGTGTAAACAGGACTAGAAGTCGTGGGTCGGACGGTAACCGGACTAGGAGTCTGGGTAAGTTGCGGCACAATGTTTCTGGAAATTAATTGTTTCGAATTTTTACAATTAACATAAAGAGTTGTATTCATTAAAACAAAAAGTCATAATAAGGAATTTATCAGATTCTTAGTATTTGCTGTTCTTAAGAGCTTTTTCAGTAGCATGAAACAACCAATAGTTACAGTTTTAGGAACAAATAACTACACTTTTCATAAAAAAAGTAGAAGAACGCGGGTAGGCAAGGACAAAATATTATCAAAGGAGGTGGTAAACATTTTTACTTTTAATCAGAAAAAAAAAACTATCTCTCTACTTAACATATAAATACTACGACTGTTTTAACGGAATTTATAAAGTGTTGTTAAAAGATAAAAGTGCACATAAGCTGATTAAAACACATAGTATCTACCTGTAGTTTTCGCTTGTTACGCTGTACGGTGACAACAATCCTTGATAAGGTCTGTAGTTATATCTACCATTGTTCCTGTAGTAGTTATTGAATCTTCCAAAATTGTTGTATCGTCCATCGCCAGAATAACTGTATCGTCCATAGTTAAAATCAGGTCGGTATCGTCCATCGTCGTCGCTCCTAACAATGCTGAAGGCAGCTAACAAAAAGACCTAAAATTTTAAATAAAATAGCCATTTTAATTGTTGGTAATAAGCAATATAACAACTACAAAAATTATTATCTTACCAATAAGATCTTCATTTTAATCCAAACCTACTTAACCAAAGGTTAAACTTTGAATGGTAATCTGTTAAACTAACTTTTGTTTTTATACAATCGTCAAATTCCAAAATGGAGTATTTATCTGAACAATAAGATGGAATGAGCTACAAAAATGTAAATTTTATTTCTCAAGTTGACATTGGGATTAGCTTATATGGTTGCACGCCTAAATCTAAAACCGATATTTTATAGTCTGCTACGCCCATGCGCCATACAACTGGACAGACCAATGGTTATTGTTTAAAATAAGACTAATTTAAATCATTACATAAATTTTATAGTCTATATCTGATTTAACAAAACTAACAAGCTACTGTTCAGATTCAAGGCAAAGACAGGCATAGAAATAATTTGACATTACAAAATTTTAGGAGTGCATATACCCTTAATTCGTCGCTGTTTTTGGGGCAAACAAGTATTATGTTATCGATGAATTAAAATATACTCATGTATTTTTCTCTAAACTAGTTCAGTAGTTTTTTTTTTTAGTTAGTTGTTGGTCACACTGGACGCTGTCGACTAAGGGTTAACTCTAGGTATATAGACACAACAAGGAAAACGTTTTGTATACCATTAATACACCGACAATCTGTAATTCTATTTTTTTAAACATTTTAATTCATACAAATATTATCACTTAACTCCATCATTATCTGCGAAAGATAAGTAGTAAGCTCAACTCTTTCATATATCTCTAAGGGCGACGTAACTAAATTTGCTGCCTTTTTAATCATATGGTTTTCACACAATCTATCTATACTTTATTTATACGTCGACGCTCAAATTAAAATTTATATTCATATGCAATACATAAATCGTTGCAGCATTAGGTAGGCAAGATTATAGTTCTTTATTTCGGGCATCATAAATTCTATAGACTAATTTAATTCTATAAATAAATTTCGTATCTGTTTAATTCAGAATGAAACAAAACATATTTTTAATATTTATTATAAATTAGATCCTACTTTGCAATTATCACTGTTATTAGCCAAAAAGCGCATTCTATCGTTCTCCACCCTCGGTCGTCGATAGTAAGTCAGTTATCGTTACATTTGAATCGTTGTCTGTAAAAACTTGTACATCTACTCGTATGTTGTCAGTGGTTGTTATTATTGCTGCTTCTTGAGCCAAAATTCTAGTATTGTCCGTTTCTGTAACAGTTGCAGCGCTTTGTGTCAAAATATCAAGAATGTTTCTTGCTGTAACAGTTCCACCTTTTTGCGTTGGATTCTCTCCACTGTCCGTTGCTGTTAATGTTACATCATTCTGGGTTAAGATGTAAGCACTGTCCGTCGCTGTAAGAGTTGCATCTTTTTGAGTCGAAATGTATCCACTGTCCGTTGCTGTGGCAGTTGCATCTTTTTGAGTTAAAGTATTTCCGCCGTCAGTCACTGTTGCGGTGGCTGCCTCTTGAGATAAAACGTCTGCATTATCAGTGGTTGTTATATACGCGTTAGAAAACATCTCGTATGGTAGCGTAGGTTTTGTTTCTACTTCATCATTTGGTACTAATTGTACATCACCAATCGTCAATTTTAAATCTTCAGCAGTTGATGGCTTGATACCGGCAACTGTTGGCAACACTTCATCAACGATCAATGATTTTACAATTTCCTTTATGGAATCCTTAACAATATTATTAGTTGTTGATTCAACTTTGGCGTAACTAGAGGGTCTAAGTATAATAAGGGGCGATTTAATTTCTTCATTTTTCAAAGGCGTAGGAACTTTGGTAGTAGGCGATGATATGTCTTCAACAACCCTTACGAAGACTTCGTATTCTAGTTTCATTTTGTTTGTGAGGGCATTTGATATAGTACTTAACACTTTAGATCCCTTGTAACTGTAGAAAGAACCCAATTTCTCTCCTTTCTTTATCTTCATATTCGGTGGGTATCTGAAATGCAGAAACAAAAGAAAAATTACTTTAATGATTCTAAAAACTTACGAGTCAGTTCCATGGTTTTACTAAAAACTAAATATTTTCGATGTTCATCATTATGAACGGATGTGGAACATTGAATTGAAAGGAAACTATTTTCATCATAAATTGGTCTATTAGTAGGAGTCTCACAATCACTAATTCAATTACAGTTTTTAATATTGACTTGACAAACTTTATTTATTTTTTTAATATTTGCCACATCTTATTTCTTAACGTTGATATCAAGCCTTGCCAAATAAATAAGGATTTCTTTTTGCAGTGACAGGTTTAATATTATCTAGGAAATTAATTAACAACCTACGCAGTTCATCGGTCGCGAAGCGGGACCGCGTTAGCTATTTCTTTCCAAATCTATACGTGTATCTTGTCTAAAAGAGATGCCATATGAGCGGTGCAAAAATGAAATTAACGCGTTTTTGGCATATCTATGGCGTCAACTATGAATGAATGATGAGAATAAAATCATTACAAAAATAGTTAATAGCTAGCTCTTATTAACCAAAATAATACGTATTATTTTATAATTATGCACTGCACTTAGTTTAAATGTCACTATCGGAATCTTTATTCGCTAAACGATTTAAATAAAAAAAAAAGTAAAAGCAAATCGGCTGTTTGTGAATAATGTCCGAATAATATTTAACGAGATATCTTCAAACATGTTGATCAAGATTTTATAGTTTATTCTAGTTCGAGGTCATATAATTTTGCATTTAAAGTATAGCAAGTCTACAAATTATTAAAGAAAAGCTTAAACTTTAAGACCCGGATCCTATTTTAATTAATATTAAATATGCAACAATTCTCAATTTACATGAGTGCACGACAAACCACAAATGTTCAAAAATATGATTTACATTTTTTACAATAACGTTTTAAAGAGTCAAAGGAAATGGACCACTACCATTTACCAAGACATTTTCTAAAGTAAAACAACCACGGTTTATAAAATATACCAAGCAAACAAAAGTACTCTTGGACATTGTAGTAAATACTAAAATTTAGTTAATACAAATCATTGAATTTGATGAGCCACACCATTAGTTTGTTTTGAAATAAAAAATTTTAGACTGCTTACAAACTTTTATAAACAAATCTTTCTTCCCTGGTGATGAATGAAGAGATGCATCAGATTTTGTAATATTTCTATGTTATAACAAGATAAGCTTTCGTCCGCAACGCCGTCCACGTAAAATTACAAAAACGGAAGTAGCTTATGTGTTCTTCTAGACTATATTCTACGTCTATGCCAAATTTCATCAAGACCAGTTCAACCATTTAAGTGGTAAACTATAACAAACATCAATCCGTCTAAATTTCGCATTTATAATGTTAGTAAATTATAAGAAAAAGCTTATGTAAAGGTATATAACAAGGGGTCTAAAACAATTACGAAGGATATACCAGTCTAGTTACGTTATAATTCTGTTATATGCTTAAAAAATAATACAATAAACATTAGTGAAGTACCAAAACAAAACATTAATTTATTTTAAATATGCAGTAAAATAAAAAACTGGCAATGCATTGCATTTCTGGTAATACAAGAAAGGAAATTTAACCGTTACGAAAAAAAAAACAGAGCTAATGAACTTGAAATGTTGGTGAAATTCAACAACACTGAGATAATCTTGAACAATCAAGATACTTTTTTTCAAAACAAACGTATCGATAAGCCATAAAAGGCAATCCCGCTACAAGCAACAAAACGTAACAAAACAATTAAGTGATTCACTCTGGAAAAGACGGAAACGGTATGCGTCTAAGGTCAATAACCCTTATGCAAGATGCTCCAGGAAATCGATATTTGTATCTTAGGTACATTTGAGTCAGCGTCAAAATATTCTGTTAGGAATTCGCGGGTCGATGGTTTAATAAAACCGAGGTGATCCATATTACAAAAGCAATGTCATGTGGAAAAAATGTCAAACTCGCTTTGGCTACATCCTGTTAGCTTCTTCATCAATCACCAAACCGGTTTTAATTAGCATCATCTCGCGTCTACTCTTGAAACTAAGTCACCTGTCAAACCCAAGGACATGTGTTTTGCTTTTGTTTCGTTTGGAACATCGTCTGTAGCTTTGACATTATGATATAATTAGCAATACAGATTTTCCGAGGAATTTCTAACGTCATCGGTCTAAAATAATATTCATAACAATTTAATTTGGATTGCATTTAAATAATTTTTAAGATATCACAAGTTGAGGAAGAATAGAACACTCAAGCGTATATTAACTGTATGTATTTTATACCAAAAGCGTTTGGATGATATTTCTGTTTTGACTCTTTTTTCGCACACGATAAAATATTATTAGTTATGACTCATCAATTACGCCACCCTAAAGTCCTAAAGTGCGTATCAGAAGAAAATAGTATAGTAAGCACCACATAATAGTAAGTCACCGACATAAAGACAAGTCAAAGATTAAAAAATGATAGCATAAGGCTTCAGTATAAATTGATTGAAGCTTGTATAGTTATTTAGATTATGGGAACAATTCTATGAACTATATCAATATCAAATAACTAACTTTAATAAAAAAAATACTCACTGTGTTGTAAATTCCGATCCATTGGCATTAGGCATTAGGTATTTACATTTGACTGCTATTTCCTTATCCGCGTAAACTTTGCTGTAGTGGTTCGTGCTACCCTCAGTCGCTTCACCGAATTGTAGATTGTCCGATGACACATACTTATCAATTAAACCTTTTATCACGCCATGCACGTACGGGTATCGACTAGCATACACTCTATAGCCCATATAAGGGTCATCTTCTCCATCTTTATAGTTGTAAGTACCATCTATAGGCCAGTTGCCTTGTTTGTATATATAAGTGTATCGACCCTCGTCTCCAGGAATATATTTTCCTTCATCATGTGGTCGGTAATATTTGCCATCGTCATATTCACCCCATGATTTCGGTTTGTACTTTCCATCGTCGAAGGGGGAACACAACACCGCGCTTAGAATTGATAGTACTAAAACCTGGAAAACAACAGTAACTAATAAATGTTATGGTTATTTCACCCGCGAACTGTTTTCTAATTTAGATACAGATCACTTGGTTAACACAGATACGATTCTAAATGTAATGGTCGATTAGCAATTAATCATAGTTTAGTGTTGAAACGATTAATATTTAAACTTATACAGACCTATATCATAAAAAGCTAACTAAAATTTTAACAACTGAGGCCATAAAATAAAAGTTATAATTTATATCTTAGTAAAAGTAATACCGTCATGATCCACAGAAATCAAGCACATGTGAATGCATTTTTTTAACGCATGAAACATTTTTTTTAACGAGAATTAAAATATAGAATCCATGTTGTATGGCTGTAAATAAAATCAAATACTTCGAAAACCGTTCATGGTATGATTATCTTGGTTGATTAAAAACAATTGCACTCTACAAAGAAAACTTCAGTTGCACAAACTTTCTTTATTACGTTAGCTAAAAATCTCATCAAGATTTTCAACAAAAATCAAGTGTAAAAATTATAAATCAATCAAAAAGTAATAAAGTTAATTAATTAATGCACAAATACATAAAATTAAATGCAATAATAATAAATAAATACTCACTAATAGCTGTATCCTCTTCATATTGTCAAGACTAGAACAATGAACTAATTAATCTTAAGTTGTTCGGAAGCGCAGTATCGCTTCACTAATTGTAGATTTTTTTTCACACGACGATCGTCCACGTTGTTTACTCCGCAGGTTATGTTTTAGATCTGAAACTAGATCAGATAATGTGTCATAAGTAAACAGCATTTTTGTCGGATAACATCCAATATTCGTCAAAAATATTTTATTCCTCATTGCCTTCATTAACATTTAGATGTATAATAAATTTTGTTCGAGACATACCGAAAAGTGGATCAGAATCCTAATATCGAGGCGTGACGAGGTCAGGCAGAAGCATTAGCATAGCTCATAATAATAAAACAGTTCCGTAGACGATCTTAAAAGACGCCACTCGTTTGTTTCTGCACTACAGAGAACACTCGCCAATATTTCTTCAAATACCTCCTTTTACTAAAGCCGCTTAAAGCAGACTAACTCATCAAGCATTTCGGTCTAATAATTTTGATTATAGGTTCCATTCCACAAATAAATTTGCATATTGAGAATTAGCATGCGGCAATTTACGACCAATGGAAGGCTGCATTAGGTGTTCAAAAAATAGTAATAACCAAAAAAATATTTGAAATCGTTCAATTGCAAACACTAGTTTTCTTAATAAATCTTTTGGTAATGCATTTTAGTTGTTATATTGATGTTAAATGTTACGTTAAATGCATAGTTAAAGATAAAATTTAATAAAAATTATTTATGAGTATGGTTGAAAGAGTATCAGGGAATTAAAAGAGATAAAAGAAAAACCAAAGTAAAATTTACCTATAGTGCAGTGAGTCCCACTACACGTCGTCACATTTGACACTAATTTGACATTTTAGTAACTGTTAATTAATAAATTAAGTAAATATATAAACCTACGAAGTCGATGTCAAATCATTATTCACTCGGATATACACCGCTCGAATTTGACGCGGAGGTGAACACAGCGCCATCATATCACAATAATTCTTATTTATATTCTCGAAGTTAAGTAAAAGCGAGATCTGAAACTAGTCTGACAGGGATGTTATAATCAATAAATTAGTGGTTTTCCGATGACTTGGACGATTTTCAACATAAATGACGAATTTTCACTATCAGAATAAGGTTAATGTCTTCTGGGAATGCGACGTGATGTTAGACAAATTGTTACTGACATATGAGTGATGTAATATAAATCTATTTATTAAATACCGGTAGCCATGGCAATACGTCAAAATCAAATATAACAATTCGACATCAACGACCGGTTTGATGCAAAATGGATCCGCATGCTTCAGATATCTCACATTTCATGTCAAAAATTTTAATTAATTAATCAAGTTATGTCTTCTTTTAGAGACATAAATGGTTCTTAAATATTTTAATTATGCGAAACGATTAGTTGTAACAACTTGTAATATTTAAAAAAATATTTACAGAAATAGAAACTAGATAGGAACGTCCGTAGCGAGATGTCGTCTTACGTTCGATGGGTCAGCGATTCGAATCCTAACTGACTGGTATCAAAAAATTTATGTTTATTTATTCACTATTTAAATATTGTTAGATTTTAACCAAAGCAAATTTTTGTAAAGATCTATACGACAAATATTTATACGTAACAATTGCTTTATGTTAATTTTAGTCTTTTACACTTTTGTAGATAATTACCACTTATAAACGTTTTCCTTAATTAATTATTATAGTTTCTAATATATTGTTTGTGTTATAAATTAAATAGAATTCCTTGGACTTTAGGAAGATGAGGCCAAGAACGTATTTTGATATATGAAGTAGCTTCAAGTATTGATGAATAAATTGGTAATTAACAAAAATGTGTTATTTTGTATATTGACGTATTATTATAATTTAACTAAGACGTTATATCTATAAATCATTATACAAAATTTAGCAGTATAATTATTTCCTATCTAACTGTAAAAGGTAATTTGTAATTTGTTATTTGTCATCAAACCTAAAATGTTTAGTATCTGATTTAAAAAAGCTTTAATTGGGTCCAAAAATTGACTTTGGGTATTTTCTAGTCGACAGACAAAAAGATGACATTCAAAATTTAATTAAACATCCTAAATCGAATGTATTGTTCGCTCCAATACAACAAAGCAAACAAAAAAATCTAGTTCCTTTTACGAGTGTCTCGCCTCGATTTGATCTAATTAATATTGAAAATTTATGTCAAAAAAACTTAACATTATGTGCTGGTTTTGATAAAAATGAAAATGGTAATTTGTGTTACCATTTTCGATAATATCAAAAGTCACGGAATGAATTACATAACACCGGCGCTAGAATCTGATAAATATAAACATATATATGAGAAGCTTCCTTTGTTGTCTAATTTTAATAATAAATATACAACTTAGTATATGTATACTGGGAACTTATTGACTAATTAATCCAGAAACGATATATTTGCAAGGATCTTGGCATATTTTGAATATTAACTTAGGTTGAGGTCAAATATTAATTCGTTTGAAGACGACGCGACGTATGACGAGTGAATCTTTGACCTTTTTAAGCTTATAATAAACTTTACCTTTTCACTTTCCGATACTTCTTTGTTGAAACAGGCGTGGTAACGAACCGACTCCACAAATGTGACTTCAATTTAAGCAGGTTCGGTTAGTATACAAATTTGGATTTAACAGTACGTTCCCCCTCTTGGTTCCATATCATTTGATTTGCAAAATAAAAAAAGCATCTGATATTCACTGCTAACGGTATTATTGGCAGATGAGTCATAATGATCAACACCTAATCGTATTGTAATAAAAAAAAAGATATTTAATATTTAAGTCCATTTCCAGGGCTTCAACTCTGTGCTTATAATACCTTAAAATGTAATCGCAATATAAACAATTTGTGAATTACTTGTATGCATACATATTTAATTTTCTGAATTTTCATGATCTGCCAAGGTAAATTACAAACAAACCATGTGTACAATTGAATAGTGACGTACAATAATTCATGTCATAGAATCTATCTATACTATTATAATAAAGCGTAAACACACACTTCTTCGTTGCCTACGATGTCAATAATTACAGCATATTCTTGAACAATTATTTTTTCAATAAAAAGCCTTACACTTACGTCATGCTTTATGCTATATGTATATTTCACACCATTAAACTTAGGGTGTAAATATTTTGGATAAAAACCCTAATGTGGGAAAGAGACCATAAGTTGCTAAAGAAAGATTGCTAAGGTTTGTCATGTCATTTCATTTTGACATTTGCTATTTACAATTTGACAAATGTAAACAAAAAAATAAAATTTTCATAATTACATGCAGATGAAGCCGCACGGGAACAGCTAGTAATGAAATAAATCTACGAGTACTATGAAGCATCGCAGATGTCGTAAATGAATTTCTACGAAAGTTTACTGGGACCGTTTGTTTTCTAAAATTAGCTCTGGCTTACATTAGCTAGCTCGTACCTTTTGCGGCAGTTAATTTGTTTATGTTCAAAAAAATGTAAAAATAAGGCCTAATAATAGCCACCTCCAAAATGATGTTTTATACATGTTAATTACATTTTAATTTTCATTTAATGGCAAACGTGTAAAAACAAGAAAAACGGGAATATTGCCTCAGATTATGCTAAGGTTGGAGCAGATGTTACTATCCCGGGAAGAATTTGATTACGTTAGTGCTAATTATTTGTCAGTTACAAAGATTTTGATCGAAAGGAATACTAATTCTTTTCTTTCAAGTCTTCGAAGTTGTTATTTTAGTCTTTAAACAATTAAAATATTAAAATGGTCGTAATAACATATTTTTCGCTGTATTCATTGGATCATAATCCTTTTGATGAACAACTTTTCGATTATTTCAAACTATGCATCTAAGTTGTGTAAGTCAGATAATAATTTACTTTACAGAAATCGGAAATTATACATTTCCAAAAAAAAAAAAATTTTTAAACTTCCATTAAAAAAATCTAAATTTGAGAGCACAACAGCATTAATCACATCTTAATAAAACTTGTACAGCATATTAGATGCTTCCCACAATTCAACAATATAAGGAAATGATGACTTCGATAAATATTACAATTTATACAAAATCTAGACGACTTTCAATTTAGTTTTACAGGTTTTTGCTATTTAACAAATGTCACGATAGAATGAACATCGGCATATCCGCATTTGACAGACATTTATCAAAATTAAATGTAAATGTAATGATCAAACAATACTGAAAATAAATAGAAAATGGATTTTTATTCAGGATACATAAAATAAAAGTTACTATTGTATTGATTATTTTATTTACATTTTAAATGCACGCACGCGTTATAGTAGGTTTTAAACATGAAGAATGACTGTTTGTAAATACTTTATTCTAAATATTTATATGGTAACTAGTTTATTGGGGTAAATGAGCACCAACTGGAACGAAGCCGTTCTCATCAGCAGTGTAATCTACTCTGTAAGTAACACCATCAGGGCCGACGTATTCGTAGAAACCCTTAGCCCTGATTCCACTGTTCTCGTTGTCGATTCTTTCCAGTTTTCCAACTTCCTCAGCTAGGATTTTGTTATCAGTCTCATAAAGGTAGTGGTAACCGTCAGGAAGTACTTCGGTCTCTTGGCGGAGAATACCAAAGTTGTAATTGTAACGGCCATCACCTAAAGTTGCCACCACTGGTGCAACTGGTTGGACAGGTTTGTATACGTAAGTGGGTGTGGGACTCGGGACAAAGACGGGCGCGAAGCTTGGGGAAACAGGACTAGCAGTAGAGCTGAAGAAAACTAAAGGAGCTGGGGCTGCGCTTGGAGCTGGAGCTGGGGCTGAGCTAGAGACTGGAGCTGGGACGGCGCTAGGAGCTGGAGCTGGGGCTTCGCTAGGTGAAACCACTGGGGCTTCGCTGGGTGAAGCCACTGGAACTTCGCTAGGTGTCGCTACTGGAACTTCGCTAGGTGACGCCGCTGGGGCTTCGCTGGGACTAGCGACCGGTACTTCGCTAGGAGAAACATCAGCGGCATCGTTAAGAGCGACAACAGCTACTGGCACTTCACTTGGAACGGAAACTTCGCTTGGTACTGGAGCAGATGTTTCGCTGGAAGAGACAACAGGGGCTTCACTGGGAGAAGCCACTGGTGCTTCGCTGGGAGCAGCGGTTTCGCTGCTCGGAGAAGCGCTAAGGACAAGGCTGGGGACGGGGCTAGACTCAGGAAGAATGGTTACGGAAAGCACTGGGCTGGCTGTTGCCGTGCTCACAGCCGCAACTGGTGCAACTGGCTCCTTTTGGGCGACGTATGCACCGCCTGCTGTGCCGCGATCACCACTGGAAAAAATATGCAAATATTAAATCACCTATGTAAAACAATATATTTCTTTGCGTTAAATAGCTTCAAATATTTTAATTCATAAAAGAAATTCATGATATCATATGAATATATAATATCACGACTCGAAATTTTTAAGGTTCAAAAAATGATCAGTTTTAAATTATTTATAAACAACTAAGAAAGACACCATGACTTACTTGTAAGAGCCAGTGTTGTCGGGCGTGTATTTGCCGCTGTTGTCGGGCTTGTTTACGAAGCTTTGGCCAAACGTTGTTGGATTGTAGTAACCACCAAGGCTGTAAACATAAACAATGAAATAAAACAAACTTGTATAAATGTAGGTTTTAAGGTTCTTCGTTCTACGCCTAGGCGTAGAGTATAAGTTAGTCTTACGGATTAGTTTATTTTAGTCATTACTTCATGCATTACGGTAGATTTCTAAGTTAGTAAATATCTAAGTGCTAAGATTCTATTCGGCAACAATATGTAACTGAATTATCTCTATATATTTTAAAACTTTCGGGGGTTTTTACTAACATAAATTTAAAAAGATTCTTGCCAGTCTATTATCATGTCACATGTTGGGAGTACAAAAAGACCAAATAAAGGTAGAAATCCCTTTAGAATTAGAGTTTTCTTACTGAAGTTCTTTAAAAGAGTTTAATGTAGTAATTACTTGTAAGCTCCGGTGTTTCCAGCGACGTAACGGCCAGAATTGTCGTAGCGTCCCGCGTTGTATCCAGGGTTGTAGCGGCCGTCGTATCTGTTAGGCGTGTATCTGCCGAAGTTGTTGTATCTGCCGCCGTTGTAACCGTTGAAGAAGCGGTTAGGGTCGTACGCGCCAACGGACGCTGTTGACGACGCGTAGTAACGTGGCGTCGTGGTGACGAACTGGAACGGCGTTGGCCTGGGAAATTATAATTTGTTGATTAGTTTAATTGAAGAAATACTTAATTTAAGCGAATAATTTATGTATTTTAATAAGTAACAGTTAGTATCTTAACCTTTGTCTACATTCTATTAAGATTGTCTGAGTAGATATTTTAATAAACACTAGCTTTCGCGACTCAGTCCGCGTGGATTAAAAAAATCACGTAGCCTATGGATTATTCCAGACTATCCTCTACATCTATGCCAAATTTTATTGTGATCCGTTCAGCTTTTTACGCTACAAACTAACAAACATCCATCCATCCTTCCACACATATCTGTAAATTTTCGCATTTCTAATATTAGTAAGAAGATAATTTATGGAATATAGTAACATTATTTTTAATCATCATTTTTATGAAATTGTAAAATCAAGCTCACCTTACCATTAGATTGAAGAGAGGAAAGGAAGAGATAATAAAATCATTATTTTTTTTTTATAACATAAGGTGGCAAACGAGCAAGCGGCCACTTGAATCCGCCAAAATGGCGAAGCGACCGCTGCCCATAGACATCCGCAATTGCAGATGCGTTGCCTACCCTTATACGACGAAGGAGGAGACGCACATAAAGAGGATATTTCCCCTTCCTATGCATCTCCTCCACCGTCAAATCCACTTCCCCTTCCCATCCTCTCCTTATAAGAAAAGGGTGATAAAGAGAAAGGGACTTAAATTAGGCCTCCGGCACCACACTCATCAGACGAAACACGGAATTGCTTCCATTTCACGCCTGTCTTCTGTGTGGTCGTGGTATTACACCGGGCGTGCCGGCCCATTTGTGCTAAGATGTTAAAGCGGGCACTACCACTGTTAAAATATTAACTTAATATTAACCGTTCAATTATATTTCTTTTTTTTATTATTATGCGTCTTCTTTAAATGTAATTGCAACCGATCTCTTTGTACTTACTTCACCGTTTCGCTTTCTGCCGCAAAGGCAGCCGCCACCAGTGCACTCAGGACCTTTAAAACAAAAGCAAACATCACTAAACTGACACATTGTATTATTAAAAACATAATATTGACGTCCTTAATGTTGGCACCTTGTAACGATGGTAATTTTATAGGCGATTATCATACCAGACTACTTAGAAGCGACATTTTGTTCGATTGTATGATATATCGACAACTAATATACATATTTTATAATACATATTCGTCTTCTATGATTGAATACGTACCAGCAAACTCCGCATTTTGTTATTATCTAGCGAGCTTTACTTCCTAAATGTGACGATTCAGTGATCCATGCCTATATATACCTTAATTTCGTCTAATTTTTAAAGTTATTCTGATGTCCAGTTTTACTCATTTATAATTTTCAAAATGATTAGTTATTCATCGTCAGTGATTCTCAACCTTCTCGTAATTAATCGTATCTACCAAATTTAGCATAAATTCGCGAATTTTGTCGCAGTGTTCAGTTATATTGTACATTGCAGTGCGCTAAATTCTACGCCTTGTTGCAAAATTCTTCTCTTTGATTAGACAATATTTCTATTGTATAATAAAAATTTGATTACAATAACTTTTATTATCTATTTCAACTAAAATAATTTATGATTATAACAAGTCATATGGCTCAGCTTAAAAGCTTTAATGAACATCGTAATTCAATACTTAAACCGAAAATGAATCATTTATGTTTAAAAATATTTAAGCCATTTTTTTATTTTACAAAAACTGCTTGCCGTGCTCACCGTAACACTATGTTTGTAGGGTATTAATTTTTTTTTTATAAGATATGAAACCAGTGCCAGTACCGCTAGCAAATAGTCAAATTTATAATTTTATGATGTAATAAATCATTAGTACTTATTGCGACTTTAAATTTTCTGACAATACAGCAACTACCAACAATAAGAATATGAGTATTCTAATGTTTACTGAAATAAGTATATTATTTGTAAAACTTTAAGCAACGTAAGATTTTACGATAGCCAATAAAAAAGTAGTTCGATTGAATTGCTAATTATATAATTGATCGAATCAAATATGATTGAAATATGGTTCTGTGACATTTAATTCGTCATTAAGACAAACAAATTCTGTTTTCATATCGAACAGAAAACGTATATTTTTAATAATAGACGTACCTAAGTTTTACTGAAAGTAAATGTAAGTTCAAGTCTAGACGAAAGTTTTTAAATATCCGTAACTTTTAATATATCTAGCAATTTAGCTAAGTTGTAGAAAATATGTTTATGATGTTTCTACTTTTTTCCAGAGTAAAAATAATAAAAACCAAATATGCTATGACATTTAGATGACATTACTAAATGTAATGCATCTTTAAAAAAAATATCATTTAATTATTCATTAATTCTTTGATATTTAAACAATTCTAAAGAAACTTAGACAATAAAACGCTGAAATGAAGTAGCAAGATTATAGTGCGAAATGTTGAGCGTCGATGGATGATTCTGGCGCCTAAGCTATTTTTTTTATAATTAAAGAAAAATTACTATATTGCGAGACTTAGGGTGAAAATGTATTTTAGGTAAAAGTACCTCTAATTTACAAATAAGCTTTAAAATATTTTTCTATTAAATTATAATGTTTCATAGTACGACTAACACAAAAAAATCAATACTAGATAATAAAAAGCGAACTAATATACCGAGTGCATTAGTTATTTATTATCTTTTATTGGAAATAAAATGAATATGTAAAATGTAAACAAAGAAAATTTGGAATATTGCGAGTCATGAAGCCTTCCTTAACCGGTCGGCTGTAAACAATTTAACGAGCCTTCCCGGACATGCAGGCTGCATGCAAAGAAATTTTAAGATGTCATTATTATTCTTTTATCATTTATTTTTTTTATATAACAGTATCTGGTCATTGACTTGTGAATCCTTTATTTATGTTGTAAAATAAAATATGTGGTTAATACTACCATAGTCTCATTAAATAAATAAAATAAATTAACGTGATGTACTTTGTTTAAGACGATACAGAAACCCGCGGATTAAAGTTAATTTCCAGTTACTCAAATTGGTGGAATAACTTGTTAAAAAATTAAAATAAAATAATACTTTGATTATTTGGTTATGGACTAGACAAAGAGCAGTTGCTCGTCGTTCTACTAAATAAAATCAGCCGTGCTGCCATCATGACAATAACAATCAAACATCTTGCTGGTGTTTGTATGCCTCGTACTGGCATGTCAGTTAGCGTTTAGACATGCCTGTAGTTGGCACGTGCCAGTAGTTTTCATGCAAGAGTGCCAGCTATAGGTATGAGTGTGCCCTCTCTTATAAGGGAAACTGACTCAAAAATCGACAGATGCAAAACGAGTATAACTTGTCGATAATTTATTTTGGCAGAGGGGGATGCAAGCATGTCTGGTCCTGTCTTTAAAAAGTCACAGTAATGATTACACGTATAAACCAATATTATAATATGAATATTAGCGATGTTATAAATTATTGGCATGTCACGATAAAAATACATTTATTTTCATATTGAACGAGTTTAGTGTCAGAAAAGTCTATAGATTCAATTTGCTATCCTACGAATTATAATTTTAAATAATGCGAAAACCACATCATTTCTTTTAAGAAATGTTAAGTCATCTTATCAAATGTTAACGACATTTTGTAAATTGAATAATATACCTAATGTGCGTGAACTTTATAATTTATTTAACGTCACTACCAACTCAGATGAAAGGAAAATTGATTAACATATCCACATCACCAGGCTATTATCAACATTAATAAAAAAATAATAGAATTGAGATCAAGGAGACATTTTGTGCTATTTGAAATGTCAGATGCATCTGCATGCACATTTATTATGTTCCATGATTGATTGGAAGAAATATTTAACTTAGAAATAGAACGCATCACAAGTATAAGCAATTGTCTAAAACTCTGTAGGGTGAAATGTAAGGGTCGTTTTATGTATCCAGACAAATATATTGCAATTTAATCGTGTAAGAATAATTAATTTCATCTCGATGTAACATGTCATAAGCATGTAGACAGCCTAATAGTCAACGAATAATTTTATTCCTTGTTATTTCTAATTTTAACTAAACATAACCTTTTGGCAACACGATTAAGCTAAACCAATCGATATAGTACGATCATCATCAATCCGAATATGCCCTATGACATTTAGTTTTACGATAGGTACATCGGATAGGTATTGTACAGTCGCGAAAATACGCGGTGTTCTAATTACAGAAAAATTGCCTTGTTCCTTGCAATGAGATAAATTCAGTTTCTTCTTGCAAACAAACTAGGTAGCAGAAACTAAAACTAAAATAAACAGAGATTTCACATATAGATTTGTTTGACACTAAGATTGCTTAAATTGTATGTTATTTAAGTAATAAATTATTTGATTGTCCGACTTCCTGGTCACTTATATTGCATCTAATTTCTAAGATTTTTTACTGTTTCTAATACTGTTTACTTTTTTCTAATTCATTTTCATTATTTTTCTTTATTATTACGTTCTCTTAGCGATTGTCATACTATTACCTACATTGTTCATTTGCGAAAACTAACATGTCTAGTTTCCCGTTTGATAAAAAAATGGGATAATGATTTAGCCGCGTACCACTGACTGACCCTTTTTCGAACTGACTCATTTAAAAGCTGCGACCTTTTGGTTATTGTTCCGGGTTAAAATGGAACACAGTCAGAATCCCCGACTGTACAAAAGCAGTTTGCTCGCATGTCGGCCCCATCAAACACTACTCATCTTTGATTGACATTTGGTTCGACAGGAAGTTTGGCTATTTATACGTTAGACCTACACTCAATAAGCCTATAAATTTCGATTTATTAACATAATTTAAAAATCATGAATAACTTATCGTTATGGCAACTAGTTTTTTGTACAAATATTTCTTTAACAAGATGTATTTTATTTCACACCATGGTTTGACTGAAGCCTTCCACAAATGCATAGTAATTCTTAAATGATTTGTATATGCAATAACATTCATCCCAACAGTCCCTTCTAATAGGAATGTAGAAATTAATACTTCTGAACCATTTAGAGGGCCTCACAGAAAAGAGTTCATTCTCGTTTATGCTAGGTAATATTTAGGTTAAGTGGATGGTCATTGGGAGCAGCAAGCTGATCGTTTGTAAGTATTCATACGGCAACATTGATTATAGCGTGAATGAAAAAAACGGAAACCTACAAATCTTTATTGACATTGGTGCTTCGATGTCCCCGAATAGACTACTAATACAATCTGTTTATTCATTATCTTGGCCGTGTACAGGATATTTTTTTTTTCTTTAATTAAGCGCCTATCTATTCCTAATAGCTAAATTACTTTTAAGTTGATAAACGATGTTTTTCAGAAAGTGAATATTTACAAATAGCGTTTTAATAAATGTATTAAACATTGCTGTACGTGTAAAAAATATATATGTTTGAAATTATAAGCCAGAATTCATTTAATTTGATAAGTGTTAAGAACTGGAAGGAAAAGAACTTGTAAAGATTTTTAGACTCGTTTGACCAGTACATTACAGTTGTAATAAAAGTCTAATTCAGAGAATACCATCACAATATCTTGTACATAATAAATAAATACTTAACCTAGTTACGTATCACAAAAACACAATCAATACTTTTCTCCAGAAGTACATTTACTGTGAATGTTAAATTTACAAAATGTTTAACAAAAAACTACATTTTTTATTAATGAATGAGCGCCTGCTTTTTTACTTAAATTAACAAAGTGTTCAATCAATTACAGTTCATAGAAAAAATATTTAGGCGGTTACAAAAAAATGACTACAACACTGGTAACTTTAAAAAACGCATCAACATTTTAGTTGTTGCACAAAAGGCATTTGAAAACAAGGAACTATTGTGAAACTGGCGATAACCTCTCACCCAGGAGGGTGTACTCTTTGGTGGGAAATAAAAAAAAGTAGAATGTCCTCATAAAGTAAGGCTATATTTTTAACTGTCTAAGATTTCCTTCTTTAAAGATATAATAAATAAAAACGTCGGTATCAAATACGTAACATTTTTTATACCGCTTTTTTAAACCATATATCACCAATATTGTTTTTTCTTTTTGTATAATGTGCCACATTATGTCTATACCATGTGCATACCATACTGGCTGGCAACTACTACCCTCCTATTTTCTATTTCCCATGGCTGCCTGACACTGATGTGTCGAGACTAATGTACTGTTAGGTGATAAAAGTTAATTCTTTGTTCGAACGAACAACGAACGAACGTTTTTGAATACAGTAATAAAGTAAAACCTACTTTTAAGATTAATAGTTACAAAAATCTCTCGTGAGTCTTGAACACCATGATTTAAATATCATTCGTACTTTGATATGAAGTTATTACGTAATACCTTACCATAGATGTAAAATCTAATGATAACTTATTCGGAGCACCAAAATTATAACCGAACGCATTGTATACTCAACGAGATTGGTTTACCTCTATTAATTCCATTAACATTATTCAATTGAATGTTAGTACCTGATTTTAAAGTAAGTTCCTAACGAATTTTCGAATAAAGTAACTTTATGAAATAATTGAAATATAAAAATATACTTATAGTGTAAAAAGGAAATAATAACTTAAAATAGTCATATATTTTATTTAATCAGGAAGACCAAAAAATGAGATGGTACAAGATGTTTATTAACAAAAAGTCAACGATAAATATCCTTAACAATTTACACAATTTTAGTGACTAGAACATTCAAGGTAGATGAACACCCACGGGCTTGTAACCGAACTCATCAGCGGTATAGTCGACTCTATAAGTAACGCCGTCGGGGCCAAGGTACTCGTAGAATCCTTTAACTCTGGGTCCATAGCTCTCGTTGTTTATTTGCTCGACCTTACCGTCTTGCTCGGCGAGGATTTTGTTTTCAGTCTCAAGAAGGTAATGGTAACCACCAGGGGGAAGGTAATCGTGGTACAAACGGATAATATCGTATTTCTTCAAGTAGTTTTCGTCGTAAGCTCTGTTTGGAGGAACGACGTATGGTTGTTGAGTGGGCTTGTATGTTGGCACGAAAATGGGCACAGGGCTTGGACTTGGTGATGCGGAGGGAGTAGGGCTCGGAACGAAAATAGTCGTTGGTCTCGGTTCTTCGGTAGTTGTAGGAACATATTGTGGTGTCGTAGACACTGATCCACTCTCACTGTAAACCAAATTAAGCAATGTTAATACATATTAAGATTAATTCCAACACACCAGATGCAAATAATTATAAGTCACGATTTTTTTTTTCACCTAAGTGAATATTAACCAAAAAATAGACTCACTTGGCATCTCCACCTTCAGATGAAGTCTTGCTCGAATCGCCTTGACTCACAGCGGAGCCAGACCCTACGTAAGCACCCCCCGCGCCACCCGCAGAGCCCGACCCAGTGTACGCACCTCCCGCGCCACCTGCGGAGCCCGACCCGGTGTAGAAGCCACCCGCACCTCCTGCACTGCTTGAGCCTGAGTAGAAACCTCCAGCGCCGCCGCGGTCGCCGCGGTCCCCGCTGTGAATGTGATTAAATTTGAAGGTTAAATTTTTATCTGGTCGTATATGCATGGAATTATTTGTAGTTATGCAAGAACAAATCTCGTTGCGTTATTTTTACGAAAAAAAATTAACGTCATTTTAGCGTTGCTTTACTTTAAAATTGAATTGTCTGTTTGTGTAAATTTTCGTAGCACTGTTTAACTTTATACTTGCAGGTAATTGAATGAACCTTTCGTGTACGTACTTGTAAGCTCCTGAGCCGTCAGGGATATAGCGTCCAGAACTGTCGTAACGTCCGCCACTGTAGCGACCTGCATCATAGCGACCAGGGTCGTAGCGGCCTGGGTCGTAGCGACCGGGATCGTACTTCCCAGGGTTGTATTGACCCGGATTGTACCGCCCAACACTGCCAGACTTTGTCGTTAAGTATCTTGGCGTCGTCGTTGTGAAAAACTGGAGAGGATTGTATCTAAAGAAGGATAACGCCTTTAAGTACACAACTTAGAGCTTAAAGAACAAAACGTGTTAGGTTAATTTTAAAATACTGTTTGTTTAATAGAAATCCCACAACAAACATTTGTGAATTCCCATGTGAAGCCAAATGATATTTGTGTGTATATTATAAAGCCTTGACAAATACAAGGTACCATCATCGTGCAAGATCGTTCTATTGGTTTTATTAATATATTCAATACATATTCATATATCTAAGTAGTGCACACAAAAATTAAGTGTTTTAATTGCTTTATTAATAAGAACGTCGGTTGCCGTGTTGATTCTTACTGCCGTGGTGATTCATTTTTGGGATCTTCTAAATATTGAATATTTACTTCTTACTTTTCTAAATATAACACACATTACAATCTTTAACTAAATAACGAGCAATTTTTTAAAAGTTAATAGAAAAAATACTAAGAAATTCTGTACTTATCATGCATGTTTTAGTAAGTTTTGAAAAAAAAACCAGTTTTATTTACCTTCCAGTTTCAGCCGCCAAGGCTACCGTCACAGTTAGACAGAGGACCTTTAAGAACATAAATTATATACAAAATCGAACTTCACTATGTAAGTTTTAAGAAATAAATATATAATTAATGAAATTTACGGGAATCGGAATCAGCAATGACCACAAAAGGTTACCTTTATACATATCATAAGTGAAATTATTTTTGAACTCGAAACAATTGAATTGAAAATTAAAATAACGTCAAACCTATTTTATTTGCTTTGCGCTGCCCACTATAACATTCTACATTGACAGAATTATATAATATCAGAAACATTTCAATTTCAAATTTATGATAATAATAAAAAATAAAACAGTATAAAGCACTATAAAAATATAAAAACATATAATTTGATGCTAAATTAGCTTCTAAATTGTTCAAAAATTCATATTAATGAAAGGATATTAACATTAAAAACATAACGTACCAATATCCCCCTCATTTTCTTAATATCTAGGATGCTACGACTTGAATGTGCTACACCAAAGACTGAAGCCTTTTATATCTTTTTTTCACCCAGTTTCATAAACTTATACTCAAGTCCAGTTCCACTCATTTATAATGAGTAAACAAATTATGATTAGTTATTCATTAACAGCGATTCTCAATCTTTGCGTAATAAATTTAATAATTTACGTTGTTTTGTCTGTTATTTGTTATGGTTTTCTACTCTCGAAGTAACATATACAACAAAGTATGAAGTGTTAATACGACACAACAAAGTAAAATAACCATCTACCGCAATATATTCATAATTACGTACGCCTTTATGTATATAAACGCTCGATTTCTCGTTTCTTGTAATAAAGTCTAACACTAAATGTATTTTTGAAGAAGTCATCATGGAACGAACACGCAACGTTCGGTCCATAATTTCCGGACGATAGTAAACACAGACAAAACACAAATTTGAGGCGGTCTGTAATTATTTTTCGGGTTGGTTCCGTTTCCTGTATGCAATGCACCAATCACCGTCGTACTAGACAATGATTCGCCGAGCGCCTGTAACGGTAAACGATAAAATTTCAACGGCATCTACGTGCGTGGGTGTTCGAACATTAAAAAATCACTATTTATGTCTTCTTTACACACCGCGATTTATAATTTAGATAAGCTAATTATGTTTAGACCTTGCATATTAGAATCAGTAGATAATTAAAATTTTATCAGTGTAATTTTAAAGTTTATAGATACACATCAAAAGAGGTGAACAATAAAATGTTTTAATTTAATGTCAAAATTTAAATTATTTCGAAACCATGCGACATTTAAAGGTACAATCTTGAATTAAACAATAAGTAAATTAAATAAATCTTTATTTCCAATACTATTGCAAATAATAAAAAGTTAGGAAATTAAAGTCATATTTTTTCAAGAAGCTTCAGAAGAATTAAACAGCACTAAAAATACCTTACAAATAGATATAAACTTAGTGACTAGAACATTCAAGGTAGATGAACACCCACGGGCTTGTAGCCGAACTCATCAGCGGTATAGTCGACTCTGTAAGTAACGCCGTCGGGGCCAAGGTACTCGTAGAATCCTTTAACTCTGGGACCATAACTTTCGTTGTTTATTTGCTCGACTTTGCCATCTTGCTCAGCGAGGATTTTGTTTTCAGTCTCAAGAAGGTAATGATAACCACCAGGGGGAAGGTAATCGTGGTACAAACGGATGATGTCGTATTTCTTCAAGTAGTTCTCGTCATAAGCTCGGTTTGGAGGAATGACGTATGGTTGTTGAGTGGGCTTGTATGTTGGCACGAAAATAGGAACAGGGCTTGGACTTGGGCTAGGGCTCGGAGAAGGAGATGGGCTGGGCGCCAAGGTAGTCGTCGGTCTCGGTGCTTCGGTAGTTGTAGGGACGTAAGCAGGAGTTGTGTACACTGCTCCAGTGTAGCCACTTCCGCTGCAATTTAAAGCAATGTTTATCAAAATTGTTTTCATTTCGAGGCTTCGGCGGAGTCAAATCTCGCATTATTAGGTAAATAAATACAAATAGAGTAAAAGAAAATGTTACCCGTTGTAGTCGTTGTTATCGGGCTGGTACTTTCCACCGTCGCTTCCTTGGTGAACGTAGAAGCCACCAGCGCCGCCACGGTCCCCCCGATCACCACTGCAATGTTTTATTACATTGTATAAAAAAAAACAAAGTTCTCAAAATACTGTATAATATTCAAGTACTGAAATGGGATTATGGTTCCAACTAAAATTCTTGAACGAAATATGTAACATTTGAACCATATTATATGTCTTCTAGATATTTCCATGATCGTTTTAGCTGTTTATTCGATCACTTTGGAAAATACAAGTGCTCAAAGGAACAACCAAGTATTTCTAAAGTACTGGCTCATTTAAAAGTGGGTTACAGAAGCAACTGCCATCACTATTACATTTAGATAGTTAATGCACACGCGATGGAGGTTCTCTAACAATTTTCACCTGAAAATCGGTCCATTTAAAAACAGTAGAACTTATGTACAATACTTTTCGTAATAGGGTAATCATCTAAGGTCCTGTCCAATCGCTGGCTGATAGAGGCTCAGATAGATTAAAAATGTCATCATTGTCAGATAAGGGAACAAAATCCGATATTTTCATCACATATTTTGCACGTTGGATTGTTATCAGATAATTTACAATTTGGTGTGACTTCTAAAATAAAAGTGTATGAACCAAGTATAGTTGACTAATACCTAGATTAGTTAATAGTGCCACTTACTTGTATTTGCCAGAATCGTCAGGAATCCAGCGTCCAGATTGATCGTATTTGCCGGGATTGTATTTACCAGGGTCGTATTTACCGGGGTCGTATCTGCCAGGGTCATAACGACCGGCGTTATAGCGACCAGGGTCATAGCGGCCTTCGTAGCGACCGGTGTTAGCAGGAGTTGTATATCTTCCAAAGTACCGATTGTAGCTTGGTGTCGACGTGACAAACTGGAAGGGTGTAGGACTGAAATAAAATGCAAAATTGAATTACTGTGACTTTAATACATTTCATAAAGTAACTGTGAAACTAAGTTATAAAAAAGACCAGACAATTTGTGGAGATTCCAGTAACAACTATAAAATAAAATGGTCCAATTTTCAACTAATGTACTCAGAATATTTTAAACGTATAACTCATACCATGTTTTGTTTAATAATTTACGGAAAAAAATCGCATCCTTTCCCCATTTGCCTTTTTATCTACCCTTGAAGAATGGTTACATGTATGTATACGCTTGAAATTTAAAAAAAACGGCAAATATTTAATTTTTATCTATCATCAAAACACAAATCCAATATAAAACCTGACAATTTTCCTTTTTGTGATCTAACCATGAAAATATCAAAATAATGATCACATACCTTCCAGTATCCGCCGCAAACGCGACCGCTACGGTCAAACATAGCACCTTGAATGAGAAAAATAGATTTAAATTTGACTATAATTTATACTCTCTATACATTTTAGGCCAAATAAGGTTGTGATAAAAATGTAAAAAGTTATAAATTAACATAATGGACTATAAAATTCCACTTTAACGGTGTCTAGATACATTTGCATATTATTTAGATCACTTTATCGAATATTTACATTAAGATTATAATACAAACCAGAACGCCCCGCATTTCTGTTCCTACTCCGCGAGCTTTACAACTTATGTGTGATCTCTAAAACGTCAATGTCTATTTATACCTTTTTCATCTACTCTATATATTTCCTCCCTTGTCTTGTCATCTCATTCATAATGTGTAAATAAACAAGATTAGTCACTAGCAGAGTTTCTCAATCTTCTATAAGGCACTTTTACGTATTTTCTGTGCGTAATAGTGGAATGCTTATTATTATTAATTATCCTATTAATAACTATAACAGCAGTTTAAATTCAAATTATATTTTAACAGTAACATCTAAATTTTCATTGTATCTTTATTAATTACTAGCTGTTCCCGTGCGGTTTCATTAGCACGAAATTATGAAAAATTTATTTCATTGGTTACATTTGTCAAATTATCAATAGCAAATGTCAAAATGACATGACATAACATGACAAACCTTAGCAATCTTTCTTTCTTGATGTTGGCAGCAACTTATGGTCTCTTTCCCACATTAGGGTTTTTACCCAATACATTTACCCCCAAAGTTTAATGGCGTGAAAATTTATAGCTTAAAGCATGACGTAAGTGTAGGGCTTTTTATTAAAAAAAAAGAATTATCCAAAAATATGCTGTAATTGCTGACATCATAGGCAACAAAGAAGTGTGTGTATACGCTTTATTATAATAGTATATTGAATTTTTGACCCCGAAGAAAAAGCGCGATCCGCATGTTATGTGCGTGTAAGTTAGTCCTATTATTTGTGTATATGAGGACCTGACGACCGATTTTAGTTATTAATAGACCTATAAAAAGACATACGTATTTTATGCATTAACATGGATAAATATCCAAATTAAAAGTTTAATAAAAGCAAGGTAGTTAATAGTAAAATAATATATTTCAAAGCAAAGCACAAAAAACTAAATAAAGAGTTTTAAGTTAATACACTATTTATTAAATGAAACCATTTTTTCTACTGTGGTACTACAAATCAAAAAAGAAAGAACAGTAGTTTTTTGTAACAGATTGAGAACCTCATCAAGTGTGAACGTCACATGAGAACGTTTTCTAAAGACGAGTTTCCACCGTGCGTTACTCAGCGAACAGTCGTACAGTAATAGGCGCAACGCGCAACTACAAATAAATTATCGTTTATCAGTAAAAATTCACTCTGTAAATTTTTTTTCTAATAAAAAAACATTTGTTTTCTAATTAAATAAGACGGTTAGCAATATCTTTTTTATAAGTGTTTTAATAGTGGTAAACCACAGTTAGATTTATTAGACAGCGTCAAATCCTTATAGCTATCTGGGTAGCTCTCTGAGTATAGCTGCCGTCGGTTTTTAAATCTACGCACTATGAAAACCGGCCTTAAGATGCAGGCGGTGACGAGCTAGAGTTACCCACACAAACAGTTTAAGTATGTGAGCGTTTATGTACAATACATAAGTAAAACGTAAATAGATGAGAATTTTAGTTTTTGATTATTATGTATCAATTTCCATTTGTGACCTAATAAATGATCTATAATTGATTTAAATTTGAATTTATTGTTGTCTGGTTTCGGTCCAAATTTTTTACCTATTACATAATCGAAATGTGTCAAGTATTTTTAAGTATACAAAATAATTGTGTATTTTATTAAAATTTCATTCATGCAATTTGTACCATGTAATAAAAATAATTGCCCTTCAAGAGGCTTTTGTAAATCCGATTAATATTTATAAACAAGTAAGACTCGTAGTTAAAGTAAATAATTAAATAGATGGCTTGTTTTTTACTGTAGCGTTTTATTATTAAATTAAAATTATTTAAAAACTTCATATATAAAAACTATGTCCTGTTACTAATGAGGAAGGCTAAATTTTAATTTTACATCAAACATGCGATCGAAAGATAAAAGACGGTAATAAAAGTTATATAAGTTTTAAGGCTGTAGAGGCGCGGCTCTGATGATTATCTTCCAAGTTATTATGTTGCATCGGAAGGTGTGAAAAGGACCTGAGAAAATATAATGTCATGGACAATCCGAGACATAATTTCAAATGTCTAATAAACATAATACATATATACATACAAATATAAAAGACAGAAATGATTACTGTTTGTCCATTACGACTGATGATCCAATATTAAAATAAACCCATTTCCTTCCTTAAATGTAAAGTTAACATTTCTATTTACGTTTTACAGAAGAAATAATCTTTAAATATTTTAACAAAGGGTTATTTGCTTATTGTATTGTTCTCAAATGAAGACAACATAATGAACATAGTAAATAAGGTATAAAAAGTAGGAGTGTATATGTTTATGTCAGTAAATGGTAAGATGACAAAATACCAGTCATAGATATCAGATAGCTATCTCTGGATCAAGAGATATCTCTATGTCAAGAAAACGAAGTATTTACATATTTTTTTGAACATTTAAGAAACTAGGGACAATACTGAAGACGATAATCAAGATATTTCTAGAGTCATGTACTTACTGAGACATAAAATTATACCTTGACCATAATCATTTAGTTATTAATCGATGATAAAACGGTTAAATTATGAATTCTCTTGGCAGGTTAAGTAACGTTAATGTAAATTTTCAGTAGAAAACAAATTAAATGTTGTTTTTATTATCTCGTTAGCTCCCATCCTCGAGTCTCCTGTCATAAGGCATTTACATTTTATGAAGGTATGCATCTAGATCCGTGATTCAGGATACCTTATATGTAAACGTTTTATGTACATATTCAAAATTAAATCGATAATTGATTTTGATAGCCCTCTTTTGAAATACACAAAATTATCAAGAAATGACCATATAATTACATAAGGCAAACGAAGAAAATAACTTTAAAATTTGCAAAGTTATTGAAAGTACTGATCTTTTTTTAATAATTTTTAAGTTTTCAAGTTCTCTTGTTCGTAGTCGACTTTTTCCTACAAAGTCTAGCAGATATTGATTAAATTTCATGTGATTTTTTTTAGTATATATCTGTATATTATACCTCTAGGTTTTAATACATGCTTGTACTTTTCATGAGATTTTAACTTTCGTATTACAATACATGCCGGGTTCGGCTATTAAACCTACAAAAATGTGTTAGTTCACACTTTAAATTGGTTTAAAGCATAACATAGGAGCTTTAATCTTCTTCTTCATCTCCATCTTTCTCCTTATCCTACTTCCGTAATATCGGCGCAACAGGTTTTTAATCATTTTTTTAAAATACATTTTGAAAATAATACTAAAATCAAGTAAAGCGCCTGTAATTTGACTTGCAGTGGATTTAAATTTTCATTTGCAAACAATAACCTAGTAGGCGTTATGTATCGTGGTATGAAGAAATGATATTAGCTTTTGTAAGGTCTGCTAGGGTTCTTTGACGTTCGGAATTAGCCGGAGTGATACTTGTCCTAAACTAAGCCAATCAATAGTAACTAACTAGCATTAGCAGTTGTTTGATAAGCACCTCTTTTGAGCACAGACTGTGATAAATCTTTATGGTTTTTGAAAGAAAGAAATAAAACTGAATAAGTGCTATAAATGACAAAATTAATTCGAAAAATAGTCGTTGAGCGACCGTACCAACCATTCAAAACAATTTTCTGAAGTGAATAGATGGAGTTAAAAGTAGTTAAGAAACATTATTTTTAATTGTAATGAAATCGAATCTAACAACTATCTCATCATTTATACATATCCTTGTTATCATTTTTTTAATTATAAGCCAGATAATTTATTTTAAATCTTTGGATCGAGTGAATGATTTTTTTTTAATCAAAGAAACCAGTGCATAGATTTATTTTCTGAAATCTGCAAAATTACCTCCAAATAAATTTAACATTTCAATATTTTTATTGTACCATGTAAAACTGGGCTCTTTTCTTATATTCTGTGCCAAATAAATTATGTTAAATCAGCCGCGCACAATGCTAATAGTAACTTGTTCCATTATTTAAATGTGTTATTTTTTTATTTAATTACCTCAATTTGCATTCGCTGTGCATCTTGTAGTGATTTACGCGTGTTGCAAATTTGAACACCCACACAAATTAATAAAATAAACATTTTTATTCAAGGCTAAATTAAAATTGTTGTCAGATACAAATCAAACTTGAAAAAAATCCGTAGAAAAATTTTTAACGAACAGGAAGGGCGATGGTTCGTACATGGCACATGGTGATTCACTGTTCAAAATTCGTCCGCTATAAAGAAAAAGGGATGTCGGTAAGAGGAAAACTATAGAACCTTTGACATTTCATTCGTCAGCTGGGACATGAAAAAAAATAGGTTTTCATCATTACTACAAAGGTTCTTAATACTCATCGTATACTCAACATAGCCAAAGGTGCATAGATCTGCAAGTCTTTTGTCTACTAAGTTACTTACCCTGAATTGGCAACCAAAGGTTAAATAATTATCATGTTCCAGACTTGGTATTGTTATTTTATAATTACTCACTACAAGAGTATAATGAAATTATTATACTTCATATCATACTAATATTATAAATGCAAAAGTTTAGATAGATGGATGGATGTTTGTCAGAGTTTGTAGCCTAAACCGCTGAACAGATCTCGATGAAATTCGGTACAGGTATAGTCTGGAAGAACACTTAGGCTACCAAATTATGTTTTTTTTATTCCACGCGGGAAGAGTCGCGAGCGAAAGCTAGTATATCATAAAGTACAAAATATAAAATCGTTGTAATGTCCATTTTTCGAGTAAATTAAAAAAGTTTCGAAACCTGACACAAAATTTTTTTCAGATTTAACTTATTATTACATTTTTATTTATTTATTTATTTACAATAGGAAGCCAACATAGCATATGAAATAGGTTTGTTTGATGAAGAAAAATAATTATAACTAAAACACAATATCATGGATACACTTACTGGCTAACACAACATTATGATAAAAAAACATTCCGTTATTTAATTATCAAAATTAGAAAATAGTGTACTAATAGTTAATTAACCATTTGATGTTGCCGTATACTACGAGTATGGTCACTTGAAAATACTAAATTGTTTTTTTTTAGCGTAATATTTAT